ATTTATTAATTCGTAATACTGTTTATTGTGTTAAAAAGTTAATTAAAATGTGAAATTTCTGACCGGTTGGGGACTTGATGATATCAATAATAAGATTTTTTATATTTGAAAAATAGGACATGACAAATAATAATGGAATAAAAATGGATACTAAGCCCTTGTTTGCAAGTTATTTTTTTTCCTTAAATTGTCTCAATAAAATATATATTTGCACTTGAACCCACGAATTCTGCTTACTTTTTAACCATCATTCTGTTAAAAGAAATCAATTTTTGTAAGATCACTTCTAAAAAAATCAATATCGCACAAGGGCTAAATTTCATGTGGCAGGTTATGCTTCTTGTCATCATGTGCCTAGTTAGATGCCTAGAAGGGGTGTGGTCATTATCCGACCTAGCCTCTGATGATTCTATTGTCAAACTATATTTTAAGCATATAGATATTCATCTATTTTATTTAGGTATGTCCAAAAGGATCCTTAGCATATCTTAATTTGGGTAGAAAGGCCCTGAAAATCATAACTCGTAACTGCTACTGGCATATCTTAAACTCATATGGTCCAGGTATTAAATATATAACAAAAAAATAAAAAACCATTTTCAAAATTCAGGGAATGCAGTTACCGTTGTCTAGACAAAAAAATTAAATTCAGTGTACTTGGTATATGACAAAAATTAATTCTTTCAAACATTATAGCCAATAGAAATGTGAACTGGGTCGAGAAATAATGGGCAGGCGTGTAACATGCATGCATGTTGAGTTCTCGTATCCCATGTTTTCAGGAAAGAAAAAAAAAAAAAAATTCAAAGCAAAGAATTCCAATTTTGGAGTAATACAAAACGGACGTGGGCCTGTCCTTGTTTAGGATAAAAAAAGGACAAATCCATTTCTTATTTTGTTATTATTACGTCGTAGTATGAATAAACATCAAATCATTGTCTAGGATTAGGTAATTATGCCTCTGTTTGATTCCCATTACGTAGAAAAATTGATGGGAGGAATAGTATTTTTTTGAAAAATGAGTGGTTGAAAAAGAATGAAAAGTTTTCGATTTATGTGTAATATTATTTTATAAAAGATTGTGTGGTTGAAAATAGGAGAGAGAAAAATAAAATGTAATAGGGCTCAAAGAGGGGCTATATGTCATATTTGATATTAAAACAAAATTGAACTTACACGTCCTAATCTTTATTTTTCTCGTATATAATTAATGAATAATGAGTAAATGAGATGACACAGGCAGACATTTATGACTAAATTCCACGAAACAATTAATAAGCTAGAAACAAGAAGAAGACAAGTTGAATAAGTCAAAAGAGCAGAAAGAAGCATAAACGACATAAACCAAGTAATTGGAATTGCTGGACTGCGAAGGTACTGAATGAGTGATTTAAAGTCATTATATTCTGTAATTATGAAGGAAAAGGCCTCATGCACAAGGTCTATTGCACAGACCTTGTACAAGGCATCTCACACGAGGGGTGGACCCCACATGTGGACTCCATGTGTGTGTACCTGTTGTGCAGGTAGCACAATTGAATTATGAAACATGAAAAATCTAGTCTATAAACACAACTAAGACACTCTAATGTAACTCACACCATAGGGCCGATCTTGAAATTCTGGGGACCTTAAGCAAACCTTAAATATGGGCCATGATAAATATTTTTAAAAGAAAGAAAAAAAAAACTCGAAGTTATAAAAACAACAATTTAAAATTTTAAACATCTTCATTAAAATTTTTAGAATTTTTTGAAAATCAATAATCGCGCCATTACAATAGATGCTATAGCTAATTCATTTAACATTTTTTTTTTCCATTTCGTGAAATTGTTGACTGAACATAAGATTTTATCAATTTCAACTTTCAGAAACTCTTTTCGACATATACAACTGTAACTTGTATGATTAATAATATTCTATAAGTAACCCAAATATTTAATAAACACCAGACCATCATTTTTGTATAGTCTAATACTTAAATCGCTTTTTTGGTCTCTACTGACAATCCATTTCTCACAATTTGTAGCTAAAAAATAACTCATGCCTATCAATATCATAATCCCAATCGTGCTTCAAAAAATCTTAAGCTTATCAAAACATTTTATCATTTGTAGTCTGCAATTTTTTAAAAATCAAACAAAATTTAAAAGGATCTTTATATTATTAAAATTGTTCAAACATTAATTGAAATGAAAAAGAGCTTTATCAACTGTAAATAAAAAATTATCAATTCTAATTTTTTCTGCTGAGCGTATTATTTCATTATTGATATTTTCATAAAATTGCTTCTTTTTATGAATAATATGTTTTTCGTTCAACTTTCATTCGAACCATAATTTCTTTAATAATAATCTTGTCAGATTCAAATCTAATTTCTCTATATATTTCAAAAAATGAAGTAAGTGCATCTCAGTGACTAATAGAAGCATCAATTGATATATCCTTATTTCGCAACTTTTTCTTAATCTTTTAATTATAGAAAATATATTTTACAAAATAAACATGTCAAACAAGAACTCAAAATAAATAAAACTTTTTGCATCTCTAAATGCTTTATGTTCATCATATGTTTTCACTATGTGTTTTAAAGTGGGTTTTATTTTTGACACTTGAAATCTTTTTACTTTAACATTTTCAACTTGACTTCCTAATGTGTTCAAGATAATAATTTAAATATAGACATTTCAAATTATTTTGAAAAAAAAAATTACATCGCTTTGCAGAAAATGAAAAATATTACATTGTATAATTTAAAAAAAAAAAAAAAAGATTTAACGTTTACACAAGACTTGTCATATCACAAAGTGATGTGTAAAATCTCCTTTGAATTACTTTTAGTATTCTTTTATATAAACATTAATGATTCCATTTCCTATTAGATGAGATGCAGCTGTAAAAAATAATAATAAAAGAAAAAACTAATTTAATACTTTCATACCAAAAGTGAAAAACAAGTAGAAATTGAAAAATAACAAAAAATAAAATATACAAGAGGATAAAGAAAAAAAAGAAAAAAAGTCATACCTATTAATATTACTGTCAAGGAATGTAACGATACACTAGTTATTTTATTGATAAAATTACCTATCAATGACCATAACGACAATTCAGTCTCTTTTTAATAATGTCAAAACCTAGCTTCTTAAAAAAAGTAAATGATATTTCATTATTTTAACAAAAAAGTGATATTTACATTTTAACAAAGACGATTGCGTATGCATTTAATTGGAACAACAATTCTAGTCATTTTGTAACTTTTATATTCGTTATCTTGCTTCCATTTGCCTTCATAAGAGATAAAAATTTTATTTTATTATATAAGCTAAAAGAGTACAAATGAAACAACGTGATACCTTTTTTAAAAAGGTGACATAGTACGTCAATTTTAAATTCCACCAATACATCGTCTCACTTTTTAATTTAAAGTAATGTTTGGATTCAAAATAATATTTAAATTATTATAAATACACATGTATGCATATCTTTAATTGATCCAAAAGAATTCAATTGAGATAGATTGCTACCTTCTTTAGGAATGTTACTTTTCTCATTGTCATAGTTATATCTACATTTTCACACACACTTTAAATGCATCACATGAATTTATCCAAAGTTGATTTTTCATATGTATTAACTCAATACAATAAACAAAATATGAACTAATTGAATAAAAAAACAAGAAACATACAAACTTGTAAATTTTGGTTAATATGCTTATGAGCACAAAACGTCCCTACGTTTTAGTTTTTTGCATTTTCACCCCTTATTTCCATGTGTTCATTGCGTAAAATATCATTTTTATCCATTTTCACAATAAAAAAATTGTGAAATGACAAATATAACATCTTATTTGAATAAAAAAAAAAGGAAAGAAAAGAAAAAATAAAGAATTAATTGCAACAACAGGCCCAAATTTTTCAAAAAATTACAAAGGAGTCCCAAACAAATAATTAAAATTAAAACTAAAAAAATAAAAATAACTTCATTTTCTTTCCCCATCCACTCCCAAAACAAGATAATTGAATCTTCTTCCCCAAAAACAATAAACTTCTTAACTCACTGCCACCGTGGCACTCAGCACTCATCAAGAAATCAAATCTTAATTTAACTTAGACAACTATTATAATTATTTGGGACTAAGTACATTACTGATTCTTGTCCACCTTCTGTATTTTCAACATGGGTTGGTATGGAGAAAAAAAAAACTATATTGGGGCTTTAATTAAGGATAAGATGACCGTGGGTTGGTGCGGAGAAGAAAACTGCCATGATGGTGGTCACAAAACAAAAATTTACTAATTCAGTTAATAGTAAGATATAAGTTCACTGTTTCTATTGGTTTTGGGATTTATTTGTAATTTTTTTTTTTAAAATTTGGACCCATGGTTGCCATTAAATCTTTATTCTTTTCTTTTCTTTTATTTTTGTTTTATTTAAATAAGTCATTTCATGGATTTTTATTGAGAAAATGGATAAAAATGATGTTTTCTGTAATGAAACGTGAAAATAGGGGTGAAAATGGAAAAAAAATTTGAAATGTAGGGACTTTTTTGCTAATAAGCCGGATTAATTATTTGCAAATTTGGGGAAGAAAACTTCGAATAAAAGGTAGTTGAAGCAATCCTTGACCTTGTTTGGGCTTGATTTGTGCAAAATTTCCTCTTATGAATTCAATTTTTCTTGATATGGGATTGCAAGATTTCGGAATTTTTGGAGCCGTCAACACTATTTTTGAATCTGCTGTTTCACTGTATTTCCTACAGTTTAATTGGATGAATTTTATTATTTATCTTTTTGCCCATGTTTATAATAATTTTTCAAAAGTAGTCCGAAATTATGGATATATCTGTAAGTACCTCGTAATTGAACATGTTACCAGGACTAATAGACCCAAAACTAAATGTAAGTTGGTCTAATATTACTAGGATTTTAGTCCATATGGGTACAGAATTCAACTTAATTTATTGATCAAAATCAAATTTATTTCTCAACAAAAATAATTACATCAAATATCATTCAATCCTAACAGATCTTCCGGAACATGCAACGAACTATTTATCACATTCTGACCAATCAAGAACTGTTTATTACAACAACAAACTGCAGGGTTCTGATCAGATGAAGCAGAAATTAGATCTCATTGGGATATTAACTTGTCCAGCTTTTGGAATAGCGATAGTCCCGAAAGATGGGCTTTTAATCATATTTATACTTGCCCGATTTCTTAAGGCTCGATGGAAATTAAATGTGGTCTTGGTTACTTCATCCTTCTTCGTCTTCTTAGGAACTAATGGCAGCGGCTTCACGAAAGGTCTGGACAGATGATCAATGGGAAGGTAAATTGCTTTCTTAATGTCATCATCAACAAGCGCGGTTTCACTATCAAGTAAGTTGGCAGAGTTGAAAAACATCTGGAATACTTTCATACAAGAGAGATGAAGATTCTTGCATGATTTTGGCAAATCATCAAATCCATCCATCAGAACATGCTTGAGGAATTCTTTCCTTTTCACTTCCACAATCTCTTCCACATGAGCGATTGATTCATCTATACAAGCCTGGGGATTTTCGTTCAAGTGGAGCAATACAAGATTCATTTTCCCATCTGCTTTTTCCTTCTGTAGTATCAACCAAAATTGAGAATTTTCAGTCATTAAAAAAAATGTGAAAAAAATAAAAATAAAATTGATGTTAGAAAGTTTTCCCTTATCATTTACCTCATAGCTTTGAACATCATTTAGTAATCGGGATCTAGCCATAAGCAATTTTGTGATGTTCTCATATTCTGCAGGTTTGAGGCTTTCATTTGTTAAGCCCGGATGCAAGAAACACGAGGCTGGAAGAGTAATGGTATGCGCTCCAATTGATTTTCACAATAAAATATTTTTCATGTTAAATTCAAATTTTTTAACCATGTATTCTCCAAAATTTTATTACTTAAAAACTCATTTCGCACAAAAAAAAGCCCGTCAAACAGGACTTAATTTTTGTCGAGTGCAGTAATGCACCTGTAAAATGAGGCCTTCCCAACCCACAAGGGGGTTGTTCTATTTTCTTCAATCCACTTCCTGTGGTCAAGATGATCCAGTCTAGCAATCCATGGAAGCTCCAATTCATGCTTGACCTACAGGAAATCCACAGTTTCATCTTGACAATTGAATAACATTAAAATGAAGAAAACTTCAATATTTTACTGGGCACCAACAAACGACTTTTATTTCCTAAGGTCCCCACGCATCTGGCAGGAAATAAAACGACGAATACAATCAACTAGTCCAAAATAACCGGAAATGTGTAGCATAAGCTGCAATGTGAGGACGACATTGTTTCCATTTCTTTTTTTTTTCTTTATTTTTTTTCTAACACTAACAAATAACTGCCATTTTATTTTATCAACTATGCTACTTGTACACCCATGTTTACTACCTGAACGATAGAATTCAGATGTGGCAACATTTCATAGGCAAGTGGAATTTTGTTTCGTTTCACCAGCCTATGAAATCTTGCCACCTCTATATTCTGTCACCCAAGCGATAAACTTGAGTTATCATTAATGTGTACATGTAGCATTTCTCTTATTTTATTGATGAGGGAGGAAGAAGATATTTACCACATTCAGAAATCCCTTGGAAAGTACAAAGTTATGATCCCTATTTCTTTTAACTGATCCTTCTAGCATTCTTCTGGCAAATGCTCTTGCGTCCTCTAATTCATACTCTCCTGGAAATAACAAGTCTGAGGCTGTGTATACGCTGTGCATCACTGTAATGAATTTTTCACAGTTTTCTTCCATATGATTCAGGATTTCTGCATGATTTAGAAACCAACAGAAGTTCCCTGCACATGTACAACATTGGAGTCAGTACACTATTTACGAGCAATAAATTGTCTTAATTAAATTTTTAAAAAAAATCGAAATTCTACCTGGATTTACAGCATAACCTTTCATACGGAAGAGCCGAAAAGCCAAGGAGTCCTTGTATAATTTTATGGGTGATAAAATGTTTGTCTGTCCTGGCTTTGACTTGCATTGTTTATGATCCCTGAATAGAGGCCAAAACTTCCATTTCTATTAAACATAATTAAATTAATACATTATCATCCCTTCACACCATTTTTTGTTTCTGCTTATTTTCCAAGGTGATTCAGAGTTTATATATTTTTTACTCTTCCGATAAGTCAAGTTATAGGTGCCATACTCAAATCATATGTTGTCACAAATTTTGATGAATAGTTAATCAATTAGATCATGCTTTCTTGAAGTAATTAAGTGAATTTATTTTTATTTATCAAATATTTATTATTAATTTTAATACTATCACTTCATACGAATAAGACAATCACTGAAAGAGTATAATATTACATCAAATATTCAAGCTTATTTAAGAGTTGATTCAGTACGATGGCCGGAATTCTCTTCGGCCATGATCCCAAAAGCTCGTGGCGCAAGATATGTGGTGAAATTAAAATTATGAGAATAAATGGGGATTTGGGGTGATATAGGATAAATCGAGCCGTGTTTTACTATATATATGATATATATTGGGTTTCATAATATTATATCATTCATAATAACCACACCTCTTGTAATAATCTTTGATATAGACATGAATTTCTCATCTTCATCCGTGAATTTTTTTTCCCCATGCAAATATTATGTTCTTTTTTCTTCATTTTATATTGTCTATTCTCATTTTTTCATAACAAGAACATTATCGTGGAAGTCTCAATTATTCGACAATAAGTTTTCTTTCTAAACCCTGTTTAATGTCTATAACTTATCACATACATAATTATTAAATCATTAGTTGTATAACCTGTAGATTTGAGCAAGTATTTCCTCGATCTCTTCATTGAAATGCTCAGCCAAACCCAGCCTTTGCACATGATCAACCATGCAAAGTTTTACTAGTTCTTCGTCCATGGGATACTTTGCTGGTACTGCATAAAGTTGATTTAGGTTAATCCCATTCCTACAGACATATTCATGTACGCGTATTCTTCCAGTTGTATTATACTGTCTTACCTCCTCCGTTAGGACAATTATGCACTAGAGACTCCAGATATCTTCTACATTCGATGTTTCCCGTGGCCATAAACGCATAAGCAGTAGCAGAGGGTGACTGAAATAAGGAACCGTCATTGCTCAAATGCTTAATAATTTCCTCTTGATGGACAATATATGTTGGCGGCAAGCTTTCTAGGTATGCCAACAGAGGAAGATCACAATACCGTGACTCATCCACAAGCTCTTCCCTGTAAATCCGCGTATGCGGGTTAATTAAGCTTTTAGGAGGAAAAAGTGCGAACAAAATCCCATATCGGAGACTTGAGTAGATGATAGGCTAATAAGGAATTAAATTTACACAAACGTGTAGGGTGTATCTTACAAAAAAGGGTACTTACGTTTGAAGAATTTGTTGCTGGTTGAATAAAACGTCGGCTATCACTCCTTTTGATCCCTGAAGTAAAACGAGCTCTAGGCCGGCTTCCTGAGCGAGTGCAATCATTGCCGGGAAAACAATGAGAAACGACCGAGGAAGATTCTGATAATTTATTTTCAGAAGTATCTCTACCTTGTCATGAACAAATGCCAATCCTGTTGAACAAAAGAAATGTATTCGAATGAAATTAGTAAATGTATGTAGGTTGTGACTCGCTTGCATGTACGTAATTATGTGTATATATTCTTGAATACAATTTAATTTTATCTAACTTGTTAAACTTTTAAATTAGAATAATGCTATTCAAGACTCCCGTTAATGATCACTAGGAGGATTGGGCTCCTTTTCATTGTCCAATGCATTAAAATGTATTACGAATTCCATTGGACAATGAATCAAGAACGGATAAACATTACCACTAGTGATGAATAGCATTACTCTAATTCTAAGTTCAATGAGAAATAATCATCAAAGTATTTGGTCTGTATTTTAGATGCGCGTACTATTTCTTGCTTGTGTACCTTTCTCAATTTTTTCTTGGCCTACATTCCAAGTTTTGAGGGCTGCCATGCAAGCAAGAGTTGCAGGTAGAGTTTCGATGGTTGGTAAACCCTCTTCGTCTGTTTCGCCCCAAAATCCCTCTTCTTTCTGGTTTCCGAGTATCCAGTTCAAGCAATTCTTGAACATGGGAAAGTTATTTTCTCTGGGATCGGCAGGAATCATTGCTAACCAAGCTGTGTCATAGGCAGATGACGAAACAAATGCAGGAAGATTATCATTTGACAAAATCTCCTTCTTGATTTCACTTACTAGAGATTGAATTAAGGATTTCGATGGCTCCATGGAAACAAATTAAACAGACACTGAAAAATTTATACTATAGTTTCTTGATAGATGATTTGTATGAATAATATTATGGAGAGTCTCAATTCTATTTATAGACTATGCCCCTGCTGGGTTTTGATTGAAATTCAATTAAAATTTCAAGTTAAAGTGAATAATTAATTTAATTACATATTTTATTAAATCTACGACATCTTAACTGCAAATTTTATCAACTTTTATCAGAATTTAAAAAAAAAAAAAACGATTTTAGTCTACACCAAATATGGACTGGATTTTTCATATTCGATAATGCTACTTGTATTTTAAGTGGTGTCCACCCCTTCATATGAAGGGGAACCACTTTAGATAAATCATATTTTACTCAAAGTAGGTCTATTTAATGTGATGAGGGTGAACACTACAACGTAACATCATCATTAAATATTTAATAATGACAACTCCAATACAACAACGACTTGACATCTTTCTTCCTTAAGTAATAAATCTGTTTTATCTCCACATGTGTGCGTGTATCTCATTCATTCTCCATTAATTAAATAGAAAAGTCAAGGTTTAGACTTGTAAGTTCAGAGTTAATTATTTCGATATAAATTTACAAATAATATATGAATTCTATAAAAGCCAAATATTAATTTTATAAATACATAGTTATAAATGTTTTTCATTTTTATTTATACAAGTTATATGACAAGTACCAATTAAAATCTAAATTTTAATTTAAATCAAAGTCAACACTTAATTTTAACTACATATTTATGGATCTCATAACTTTTTAACCACACATTTCACTGGTTTCTATAAAAATCTACTAAAATTCTTATTTTAATCCCCACCAAACAAGGGTTCACTATTCCTTCTACCATTCATCTTTATAAATAAATTATAAATTTGATTGGCTAAATTGTTTGAGCTAGTATTTCAATCAAATATGACTTCTAATTACCTAATACTCGACACCAGTGGTAAAGCCAGGTGGGGTCCATTGGGGAATCCAGGCTGGACTGGAATTTGGAGTTCTTTTTTTTTTTTTTCAAAATATATTTTTAAAATTTCCCATTGCTTTCACATATTCCCAATTTTAAAATCTAAATTCATTAGTATAATTACGTATTATGTTGTCGGCGAAGTTCAAATAATTTGACCTGGACTTGTTTAATTTGAATAAATTATAAAAATATATTGTATATATATAAGACATGTTTAATTTGTATGGATTATGAGTTTAATTGTACGAATGATTTAATTATAGATTTTGCTTTTTGATTTGGATGATTTATTGAATTTAATTGCTTATTATTTTATTATTATTATTTTATTTATCTCTATTACGTTCTTATAAAATCAATCGTTAAAAATAAATAGTTATGTACAGTTACGTTTTCCATATTGTTCATATGAACTCTTGATGAAGTGTAATGAGAATTTTCTTTGAGAAAATGCAAATTTTGTTGGTGCTTGATGGGATTTTTCTTTTCAAATTTGAGAATTTTTGTAGACATGAAATTTGAGTAGGACATCGTTAATTCTCTTGGACTATCCTAAGTTTGTCTTTTGCATTACTTTTCATTTTTAAAATAAGCAAGCATTTTTTCCCCCATAATCTTCCCCTTAAAATTGCCTTTTTTTTTTTTTTGTAAATACGAATTCACAACTAATAATATATAATGAGGTTATTATAAGATATTTCTTTGGGGGAAAAATACCCATGGAAAAGAATTATAAGAAATTTGTTGTAAAAGGAAAGTTTATTAGGATTTCAAGGCAAATGACAATCAGCCCTCGAAATAATTACTGTTATATCCCTGATTCACCCTATAAATACAGGGCTTTGGTTTTTTTTATAAAACACACACAAGTCTATTGACTTTTCTCTGTTCTCTTTTCTTTTCTTCACTTTTATAACACGTTATCAGCACGAAAAGCATAATTTTTCAAAATTTTGTGGAGTTAATTAAATGGCTAGCATCACGAAACTCGAGTTTGCTGCACTTGATATATCTGGCAAAACTTATATATCATGGATACTCGATGCTGATATCCATCTTGTCTCAAAAGATTCATGATGGATTGTCAAGACACCTGCTCGATTGATAGTGCAACTATACATACTATTTTTCAAGACAAAAAATATTTTTTGGACTTAACATTAAAAGAAAATAATGTCAATACAATATTAGGTGCATCGAATATTGTTGAAAGCTCCAGAAGAGCTTGTATTATTTTGCCAAATAATACAAAATTATATATTGACGATGCACTTTATTCTACCAAATTCAGAAGAAATTTGCTTAGGTTTAAAGATATCCGCTGTAATGCATATCATATTGAGACGATGCAAGAAAATAATATTGAATATTTTTGCATAATTTTTTTTGTATCTAGTCAAAAACAGATGAAAGAAAAACTTCATGCACTCCCATTTGACATGTATTATACATTTATAAAAATGGTTGAATCAAATAATGTCACGAACCAAAGTTCGTTGACCCAAAAAGTTTTATATTTTGACATGATCGACTTGGACATCCAGGAGCTATAATGATGCATCGAAAAATAAATAGCTCACATGGACATCCTTTAAAGAACCAGAAGATTCTTTTAACAAATGATTATCCATGTATAGTTTGTTCGCAAGGCAAGTTAGTCATTAGACCTTTAATTACAAAACTCAATATTGAATCTACAACTTTCTTGGAAAGAATTCATGGAGATATATGTGGGCTAATACACCCACCATATGGACCATTTTGTTATTTTATGGTATTAACTGATTATTCTACTAGATGGTCATATGTTTGCTTACTTTCCACTAGAAATGTAGTATTTGCTAGACTACTTGCTGAAATTATAAAATTACGAGCACAATTTCTCGATTACTCAATTAAAACTGTTTGTCTTAACAATGCTGGTGAATTTAGATCACAAGCATTCGATGATTATTATATGTCAATCGGGATTGTAATTGAACATTCAGTTGCGTATGTCTATACACAACATTGTTTGGTGGAATCATTTATTAAACATCTACAACTTATTGCTAGACCATTACTTATGAGAACAAAACTCTCAGCTTCTGTTCGGGGCCATGCCATATTACATGCTACATCATTGGTTCATATTAGACCAATTGTTAATTATCAATATTCACCTTTGCAACTGCCATTTGGTTATGAACCTAATATTTCTTACCTACGGGTTTTTAGTTGTACTGTCCAACTCCCTGTTTCACCCCCCCACAACGTACTAAAATGGGTTCCAAGTGAAGATTTAGGATTTATGTGGATTTTGATTCACTATCAATTATTAGGTATCTTAAACCTTTAACGGGTGACTTATTTATTGCAAGTTTTGTAGATTGTCATTTTGATGAAATGACTTTTCCAACTTTGAGAGGTGAAAAACTACATCCCGAAAAATAAGGTAAAATTACTTGGAATGAAACAACTCTATCTCACTTTGATCCCCGTAGCAATCAATGTGAGCAAGAGATTGAAAAAATTATTCATTTGCAAAGAGTTGCAAATCAATTACCTGATACATTTGTTGATACAAGAAAAGTGACAAAGTCTTATATATCAGCAGAAAATATTTCAGCAAAAATTGATGTCCCTGTAGGACAATCTGTTGTAGTAAATGAATCTCAAACACGTCAAAAGCGTGGTCGACCAGTTGGTTCAAAAGACTCTTTACCTTGAAAAAGAAAGGTACATGAGAAAAACCAATCAAAAACTTTAGAAGAAGTAACTTTAGAGAAAATTGATCAATCAAACATTGAAGATACGATTCCTAAAGAACCACATCTGTCCGAAAATAATGAGATTTCAATAAATTATACGTTATCTCATAAATTATGGAAACGGAATAATATTGTTATAGACAATATTTTCGCTTTTAATGTGGCTCTTAATATTATGCAAAATGAGGATCCTGAACCACAGTCAATTAAAAACTGTCAAAATAGAAATAATTGGCCAAAATGGAAAGAAGTCGTACAGGCAGAATTGAATTCCTTAGAGAAACGAAAAGTGTTTGAATTTGTAGTTCGAACACCTGAAAATGTAATCCATGTTGGATACAAATGGGTTTTTGTAGGAAAGAGAAATGAAAATAATGAAATCACAAGGTACAAAACCTGACTAGTAGCTCAAAGTTTCTCACAAAAAGGGAATTGATTACAAAGAAACATATTCTCCCGTAATAGACACCATCACTTTTAGATTTTTAATTAGTTTGACTGTGTCACAAGGGCTTGATATGCGCCTTATGGATATAGTAACTGCATATTTGTATAGTTTACTTGATAGTGACATATATATAAAAGTCCCTGAAGGACTTAAGATACTAGAAACAAACGATACATGCCCGAGAACTATGTTCTCAATTAAATTGCAAAGAACATTATATAGATCAAAACAATTCGGACACATGTGGTATAATTGCTTTAGTGAATATTTATTGAATGAGGGATATAAAAATGACGATGTCTGCCCATGTGTTCTCATAAAGAAAATAAATAGTGGATTTGCAATTATGGCAGTTTATGTTGATGATTTAAATTTAATTGGAACTTCTGAATAGTTCAACAAAACTATTGATTATTTGAAAAATGAATTTGAGATGAAGGATTTGGAAAAAACCAAAATTTATCTCGGATTGTAGATCGAACATTTCGAAAATGGATTATTTGTTCACTAATCTACGTATACAGAAAAAGTTTTAAAACGTTTTTATATGGATAATGCACATCCATTGGCAACACCTATGGTTGTTCAATCACTTGATGTGAAAAAGGATACATTTCGTCCACTTGAAGATGGAGAAAAGGTTTTGGTCCTGAAGTACCATATTTTAGTGCAATTGGAGCATTAACTTATCTTGCAAATTGCATTCGACCTGACATATCTTTTTTTGTAAATCTCCTTGCAAGATATAGCTCAACACCAACTCAAAGACATTGGAATGGTGTTAAACATATTTTTCGTTATCTAAAGGGTGTT